GTGATCACATTTTTGTTGTTGTCATAGTTACCATGAACCTCAGTTGTGTATATTATTTTGATTAATTGGTACAACTCTGTGATCTTTATCACTCCTATTTTGTAGATGAGGAAACTGAGGCTTTGAGATGTGAAGTAACTGACATAAAATCTCACAGAAAGTATAGCATCTAAGATGATAAACTAAGAGCCTAACCTCACAGCCCATGCTATTAAACCTAATGATGACTCCAAATTGATCAAAAAATGGGGAGGAGCTCTGAAGGCATATCAGGGTAGTCAAGAATTTTTAAGTACTGAAGGACTCAAACTTTAGATTGAAATCTCATCATCAATTAACTTTGTGACCCTTATCAGGTTATCACATTTTCTCAGAGTGACTTCTTTGTAGGTATTGTTGTGTAACTTCTGTCATGATGATAGCTTCACTGTTGCTATCCAGGAAGCTTCAATATATCTCTGACCACTTTTTAGTTGTCCAAGGGACACAACTGGGGTCCAGAGGAGTTCTATGCAGAAGTTTTTATGTTTTGATCTGTCCTGCATAGTGAAAGCTTTGGCCTGTGCTGTTCAATAAGAGCCATGTCTCTCAAGTTGGAAGTGACTTTTGAGGTGCTAGCTAGCTATATTCATGGTCTCTCCACATGACCACAAGAGCTGGAAGATTCAGTCTTTTATGTCACCATCTACTGCAGCATCCATCAGTTCATTGTTCTGGTAAGGACTGTGAAGCATGCCCATGTCCAGAGCAAGGCTATCATTAAGGAATATGGGAGCCCTGTTACAACTTTGCTGCTTTTCACCAGTGAAGGATAGAGTCTGTTCTCACATGGATGAAAATAATTTGGACATAGAAGTTATAATTCTTTGCTGACCACAAACTCTCTTTTTCTAATACCCTAAAACAGTGGTACTGAACTTATAGCATGCAGCAGCGGGCTGTTAATTATCACTGAAAGCTCTAAAAGGTGCACCATCACTACGCTAAAATAACCTCTAGTACAATTCATCTTAGATTCCTCCCAACCAATCTTCCTTAGCAGTTATCATGGAGTCATTTAACTATTTCTTGATTACCGTATTCAGTGGTCAATAAATGACTCATTTGTTCTTCCACAATCACATAGAAATAACGTCAACACCATTCAATCCTCTAAATATATCATTTTGTTATCCAGAGTCCATCAACTAAAATAAAGTCACTCTTCAGAAACTGTGGTATCAAAAATAACCATATTCTTCTTGGTTATTATTTTATCTTCAGCATGTAACATTGTGTCTAACACACCATTAGGCACTTAAAAATATTTGCTGGATTAAAAAATAAGTCACATATCGAAATCAACAGATAGAGGAGCCTTCAGCTTTTAGCATATTGTTCTAGGTCAAAAAGACTTCTTGTACCTTCTTTTTCTTTCTCAAACTATCTCCCATGGTAACTTTCTGTTCCTGAATCTTGGCTAGTACCAAGAAAGTCAGTATCTGCCATCTGATTAGGAAATTACTCCCATTCCTTCCATGCTAACTAATGCTCTTTTCCTTATTTGTATGTATAAACATGAAAAACTTTTGTATCCTACAATCAACCAAAAGATGAATTTCTAACCTGAGCAGCGGAAGCAGGATTGGATTCATCATAGTGCAAATGGAAAATTGCTTTCAGCCCACCAAATACTGGGCACACCAGTCTAACCTTTTTTCAAGTTTCTTAAATATTTATGGGAGAATAATTTGCAGAATAATGAATATAGCTTTCTAGTGGAGCCACAAATACACACTATATTTCTGCTATTGTTTCTTATTAAATATTCATATGTATATTTTGCGTTTGCTCTATAACTGGCCATTTATGGATGCTTAACAAGCACAGACAGTCCTGTTGAGGAAAAATAATACCAAATAACTATAAGCAAAAGCAAACAAATGAACAAAAGATATCTCATTTCTGCAGTGGTTACATTTAAAAAGTACATTTAACATTTTTAATACAGTCCATATTTCATAAACACCACATGTTGACATGTACTAGAGAAAGATGGATGATTGGACCTGGAGGTACATCCCTCTATCTAGTTTTATGTGTGCATCTGGCAGAGCCAATCTTCGCTTCCCTTTAGCAGAACACAAAAATGTGATTCTCTAATAACTGACATAAGTGCATCATCTCCCAGTATGGACTCTATTATTAAATCACAAAGACAGATGAAACCAGAGGAGTGAGGAATCTTGACTTCCACTGATATCAGACCATAAAACCTCTACTTATTGTAATTGGGAAAGGAGCATCAGTTATCAGTACTTGGGATTAGGGGTAACTTTCAAATTCACTACAACAGAGTCTTGTTTGTTGCAGTTACACACATGTTTTTCATTTGCATACTGCTTCCGAGTTTATGGAGGATTTTCACATATAAGCCCGTAGTGAGAGATTCAGAGCAAGGATTATTTTTTCCATTCCTACAGTGAGAAAATAGAAGCCCTGAAGAGTTTCCAAAATGATAAGAGTCCTCTCTATAGGATTTTAAACTGTATAAATTACTTCCACACATACAGTCACATTTTGTTTGTGTAACTGGGAAAATAATTCATCAAGAAGTCTTCTTCCAGTCATTGAAATATCCATTCTAAGAGAATAAATGGGGGGCTGGCTCCACACTAAGAACACAAGCAGGGTTCCAAATTGTAGCTTTTAGACTTATATGGAGTTTTGGCTTAGCATAGTGCAGACTGGAGCTCAGGCTAAGGGCTGCAAAGAGCTGAATTGTTCTCCATGCACATCAGAAGGGGAATTGGAGGATGTTTTCCTTCTAAGAGGAGTAGAGCCAGAAGACACACGAGGATAGGAGGAATAAGAGAGTTGCTGAACCACATCATGCTATGTAAGGACTTCTGTAAGTAGCATTTACTAATGTTCATGTTCTTGCAATGGAAATCTTTTGAGTCCCAGTACAAAATGTGGTTGTTGTTGGAGTTCATCACCTGCCTCTTCTCCCTGATGAGTGCTTCCTGATCTTGTGGTTTGAGTGGGACCATGAGGCTAGTTTTGGCCAATGAGCTATAAATGAAAAAGTGCTGGGACATTTCTTTGCAGATGCAAGGGTTCCTTTTTCTTTCTTGCCAGAGCGGCTACCACATCACCATCCCCTTGCCCTGTACCATCACATCTGTGATGGACATATGTTATCAAAAAGACATAAACCTTTGTGATTTTAAATCTTTTGAAGGCCAGGCATGGTGGCCCATACCTATTATCCTAACATTCCAGAGGTTGAGGCAGGAGGATTGCTATGAGTTCAATACTAGCCTCAGCAGCATAATGAGTTCAAGGTCAGCCTGAACTGCATAGTGAGACCCTGTCTCAAACAAGCAGACAACCAAAAAAAAAAACCAACTTTTGAGATTTTAGTTATTTGTTACTGTAGCCTTACCTGACATATGCTGACTGATCCAATCTGCTAAACACATAGTGTCTTAATAGAAACATTTTTATATGTATTTGTCATCAAGAAAAGTTGCTGTGTTTCATGCTAGGATCAATTTTATTCAGAGGTAACTCAACAGCAGTGAGAGCCAGAGCAAAGAACAAAATTGCGGTGACAGCAGAACATGACATATTATGTAAGGACCCTGGAGATTTGCAGAATTCTTAAGAAAAGCTTTAGACATTTTGCTAACTGTAAAATGGGTATCTGGAAATATCGAGGTGAGTTTTAAGGGGCAGAAAGACATCAGCAGTGACCTCTGACAATCCTTCCAGTGTATTTTCCTGGCCAATGAGAAGGTTGGCACAGTTTTTTGTCTTATATTACAGATGAAGAAATTAAAGTTTATACAGTTAATCTTACTCGCATATAGTTATACAGCCACTAATAGGCAGAATGTAGATTACTAAATCCCTTCACCATAATTTCAGTGTTCTTTTAAAAAGAATTCTGAAAGCCAAATAATGAGCAGCACACACACACACACACACACACACACACACACACACACACAAGACCACCCCAATCTCTGCAATTGTACATTGAATATGCTAAAGTATTCTGTATCTAAAATGTGACTGTCTCACAATCTGTTCTTTATGTCAATAGGACAGGCAAATCAATGACCAAATAGTTCCAAGAATATGAACCCTTTTAATAAATTTTCTAGCAATATGATATTTTTGTTATTAGTCAATGAATTGAATTTTGTCATTAAATTTTATTTATTAGCCTACCAGCCTGTTTCCTGAAGGGCAAGCCAACATTATGTGCCCTAAATTTTATCTGCTCTACTTAACTTCAAACATTTTGTCTATTTTTCCTGCCTTCATTTCTCTTCTCTGCTGCTTATATTTATTGGATGATCTGGTATTTAATTGTCAGAATTTTTGCCTTCGTTTCTTAAAATGATCTTCCATCTTTGTGTATGTAATTAATAAATGGGCTCCATCAGAACCTTAATTGCAATTTACATACTCATATAATATAGTTAGGAATAGGTTAATTAGATTATTCATATAACAAGTAGATTTACCAGAAGTTTTCACTGTCATTTTTCTAAACATCAATTTGTCAACAGATATTCTAAAAGCATAAATTAAGGTCCAGTCATGTCATTCCACTAATCTATGTCACACATATCTATTTAGTCACAACATTCTTCTCTAGGTAGCTAAGTGAAACCTCTTAATTCTTCTTAACACACTATTCCTGGCACTATCAGTTTCTCTAATTTAGTTTTTAAGTGGAAGCCAATTTTTTCTCCCTGTTCTACTCATGGTGTTAAATTTGTAAACAAGTTTGAAGCATTTTGAATTATCACATAAATGTGCAATCTTGCTTCATATCCACATTTGATAGTACCCTAAAACTATTTAAAATCTCAATGAATCAGGATTTTATTTTTTATGGTACTATGGATTAAACCCAATGCCTTTGCACTGAGCTATATCTCCAACCCTTAAAAAAATACTTTTTGAAACAGGGTCTTGCTAAATCACTACATTGCCCAGGCTGGGCTTAAACTTGCAATTAATCCTCTTGTCTCAGTCTCCTAAAGTGCAGGGATTACAGGTGTGGATCCTAATGCCCAGTTGAATCAGTTCTTCTGTCTATCCAATACCATCTGTGGCCCTCTGAAACTTTTTGTTTACTATTCCAGTTCTTTCATTTTTCCCCTCCACCCACACTAAATTTTCTTCCAGATTCAACTTCTTCTTGGAAAAGGATTTACACTGTAGGCTTCTAATTTCTCAGGTTATTTCTTGTAGGTCACCAGTGGTTGGTTCATAGCCGTCTATTCATGGAACATTTTCTCTTCAATGTGTGACCCTTTAGGGTATAAAAGAGAGCAAATATTCCCATCTGGAGCAGCAACATGACTACAAGGTTAAGAGGGGAAATATCCTTGGAAAGAGGATAAAGAATTGGGGAAAAATGGAAAGTAAAATTACCTTGGTTGTGTAGAGACAGAACCTGCTGGTTTTGACCACTCCCCTGATTTATAGTAGTCGCTCTTCCTCTGCAGTCTGTCTTTTACTCACCACTATATGTAGTGGCTCTGTGTGACTCAGGGCCAGCCAATCAGAGTGTACTCTTGTCCTTTGTTGTGATTGGTCCAGAATGGAAATGTGACCTATCCTGGGCCAAGTAGAGGGCTTTCCTGGAGCATTTCTAGAGGAATATGGAGGAGATAGTGAGCTCTGTGAATTATGTGTCAGATTAGACAACTTCGGGTGTGAGAACTCAGAAGCAACTGTAACCTTTCTCCCCAGAGTGTCAAAAGATGATGTGGAAGGGCAGAATGGGAAGGAAATGAACCCAAATCAGGTTAGCAATGGTAAATATTAGATGAAGAGGAAGGTACTGAGCTCCATAATGTTGCCAGAGGCAGTTAATATTATTTTTATGCTAATTATATTAGGATTGTATTATGATTGTTGTATTTCATATCTGATTACTGTGTTATTATTTTTTGTTTGGTTGTTTTGTTTTGTTTTGGTACCAGGGATTGAACTCTGGACCTTGTGCTTGAGAGGCAGGCAATGGAACCATTGAGCTAAATCCCCAGCCCTTGTGTGTTACTATTTTTTATATTATTGAATAGCTAAATATTTTGGAGTTTTTGGAGACCAAAGTGTATACTTTATTTAGTTGGCAGAAATAAGCTACTTGAAGCTATTGAGAAGAGTGATGGAAAAAATCAACATGCTAACATTAGGAAACTCAATCTGATAAATTTCTCAAGGTGGATAAACGAGGGAGAATCTAAGCAGGGGTGAGAAAAATGTAGTACATACCCTTTGCCTTCCCATGCTCTGCCTGTGGCAGGCATTGCTAATCAATCACAGCACTTTTACCTATTGAGTCCAGGCTGGCCACCCTATCCCTCTCAGAGCAATGTTTCTGCCAGTGACTACAGAGGATCAGAGCTGCACACAAAATCAAACCCATTTGCTCTCCTAAGCTCAGCCCAGGAGGACAGCCAGGAGTCTGAGAAACAGTCAGAAATAAGATTATCAAGATAAGACATAGATAGGGAGCGGGCAGTGAAAGGGACAACACCTAACCCTTGCTGCATCAGTGTGATGGTGCTGCTGGAACGAAGTGCACAGACTGAGTAACTGAAAGACAGCATGGTATTGTCTCACAGGAGTACAAAATCACGTGTTGGCCTGATCATTTTTTTTTTCTGAGAGCTCACAGGAAGGATCTGTCCTGGGGTTTTCCCCTTGGTTTGTAAATGGTGGTCTTTTCCCTGTGTCTCTTCTCGTCATTTCCCCTTTTGTAAGTCCAGCTTCACCAGTCAGGTTGCACTCCAAGGACAGCCTTGACTTTTAACCCATTTACTAAGATCCTGTGTCCAAATAAAGTCACATTCTGAGATGTTAGGAGTTAGCACTGCAACATATGCATGGTGAGCTACACAGTTCCATTAATAACACTGAGTGCTTACAACAGTCAGGCATGAGCTCCTCATCAACTCAAAACAACCTACATAGAGGGAGCTGTTGTCATCTCATTTTGCCAAATAAGAGATATGCCACATTTCCAAGCAAAGAGCTCAGAAGTGTATGAAAAGAAATGGCCAGGGGAACTGATGCCAATGCAGCCAGGATTCAAATACAGGTCCTCGACTGACTGGTTTATTTGACATAGTATAAAAATAAGGAACTTAGTTATGTGTTAGATATAAAGAAGAAAGGAACAACAACCAAACCGAGCAGAATCAATAAATTCTGGATTCGTTTTCTGGAAAGATGGTGATGTCAGTTCTCCTGCTTAATATTTCAGTGGCTCCCTATTCCCTGCAGGTTAAGTCTTAAATTATTCAACAGGAAAATCAAGGCTGCTTATGATCCTAGAAGCCTCACTCAGTCTATCTCCAGCTGCAGTCATCCTGGCCACATTGTTTCAGCAGCTCTCAGCAACTTGCAGTCTCTGCTCCAAGGAGAAGAAGAGATCTAGGGCTTGCAGAGATGAAGGACCATGGGAGAACAGCTTGAGAGGGTGTCTTATGCTTGCTTCTGGACCCCTGCTACCCTTGATAGTGGGCATTGTGACTTCAGCTCGGTTATTTCACCTCTCAGATTCTGTCTTTCTAACTGGTAGAATCAAGTGGTGGTAATTCCCTTCCATACACCCAAAAGAATGCCTGTGGTGAATAAATGGGATGATGTGTGTCATGTAACCTGGCACTTGGCAGGTGCAGTACAACAACCATTCACTTTGGGAAATTTGGTGCCCAGTATAACAAAAAACATCCAGAGTATTCCTTTGGGCACCATAAACACAAGGCCAGGGTGCAAGTAGTGTCCTTGGGGACACTCATTTTCCCTTTCCTCACTCCCTTTCAAAGCCTTCATGTCCACCTCCAGTTGTGACCAAGCATTCTCTTCCCATCTTCCCACCTTCCACCATATCCTTTCAGGAGTGATGGAACTGACTGTGATGTCGTAGGCAGCTTCCCCTCTTATTTGAGCAATCAATAAGTGGCCCTTTCTGAAGGTGAGCTTTTGGTTTCTTAAGGCCGGTCTGCAGACATTTCAGACGACCCATATGTCTCCTGACATTGCTGTATTCGTAGATGGGTTCTCAAAGAAACCATTATTAATGATGTAATTAATATGAATGGCCACAGTATATATCAAGCAGGTCATTAAGGCAGAGGTGGGGATATAGCCATTTGTATTAGAGATACTCTTTGTGTTCGCAATCCAAGCAATAGAAAGTGCTTAGCTTAGAAATCTTGCTTTGCTCTACTCTAACTGTCTGTTTTGGTTGTCACACACCCTCTTTTTGCTTGCTTAATGCTTCTGTTTTTGACTTCCTGGGAATAAGAACGAGTAATAAAGTTGATTTTTAATAGAAACATACAATTAAGTAAATCTTACCATTTAAAGTCACAAATTTCAAAAACCAACTGATTTAATTAATGTGTTGGAGTGGGTGAAAGGCGCACAGCTAATGGGGAAGAAAATAAGAACCGAGATACATCATGTACAGGTACAAACACCCAATGATAAATGTAAACGAATTGTATACCTAAAGTATACCAATAAAATGTACCAGTAAAATTAATTTAAAAAACAAAACAAAACAAAACAAAATTGTTGACATGCCTTCCTAATAAGAGTTTCTGAAAATGAAATCTTACAGCGAGGTATGGTTATTCCTTGCAAAATAATCATCCAGGAAATGTTCATCCCCCGCTGTCTTAATTATTCTTTTCCCTTACTTTTGATAGCATTCTTTTCCACTGTTTCTCTTCCAAATCCTTCATGATAAACAGAGCCTGTACTTTGGTGAGGGCAGGACAAATGCACGCTCTAGAATAACACATCTCATATGCAAACACAGTGTATTCTTGAGTTACAGCGTGTTGTTGAGTTCTTGGAACAATCCATAGGAGAATAAAATCTCACTCTCCAATGTGTTACTTCTGTAGATTGGATCTGGAAGGGTTCCACCAAATGTCCATATAGCAAAGCCTTAGCCTCTAGCTTGACAGTCTTGGGAGGTAAGAGGAGCTTTAGAATGTATGGCCTAGGGGAGGAAGTTTCGTGATCCCAGGATTGGCCTTCCAGGAGATAATGAGACTTCCTCATCTTTCTCTTTCACTTCCTGAGAAAGAGGTGAGTTGTTTTTCCTCTACCATGTGCCTCCACCATAATGCTTTGCTTTGACACAGGACCTAAGCCACAAAGTCCAGAGCCTCCAAACTGTGAGCTCCAATAACTTTCTCTTCATAAATATCTCTTCAGATATTTTGTTAGTGGGAAGAAAATCTGACTACCATGGTGACTCTCACAAAGGCTTGGAATTTTGACATCTCTAATTGTGACAGCATCAGTGCAAACAAACTAAAACAATAATCAGCATCACAGCAGCAGTGACACTGTCCTTCTGTGAAGCCTGAGGGCCTGAAGGAGGGAACCATTATGATGAAGGGGGAACCATTATGATACACCGTTCACAGAGGAGCAGACAGGCAGGGAGAATTTCCTATACTGCTTAAATTTACAGTGTCAGTAAGTGGCAAATCCAAACTCTGAAGCCAGATCTGACTCCTGGTCCATAACTGCTATAGAAGTACTGAAAATGACACGTGTGTGGGACACATTCAAAATTGTTGAATTTCAGGTGCTAGGCAATAAGTAGAAAAGGCTTTTTGAATAGTTACTTAAAACATCTTGGAATTATATACCACATATATAGGTATGGATGATCACACGAAGAAGTAAATGTATTGGTAAAATTATAAAGCTGAGTTGTATCTTCTCAAAATTGATATTTTATTGGAGATTTGTAGCTTTACATAATATATCTTTATTCTTATTTTCCCCATTCCCTTGTATACCTAAAATGTACCAATAAAATTAATTTTTAAAAATTGAAAAAAAGTAATGTGTTAGTTTTTCGATGTTGGGAAACTTTTATTTGGTTTCACCAGTCTCTCCCATAGACACCCATCTGCAAGAATATTTCCTTCTAATTTGTTGTGTATAAGCGATCTTCCTCGGGCAGATGCCATATGCAACTGAGCAACTTACTTTCAAGGGAAATATTGAAGTAACACCCTCAAGCCGTTCTGCTCTGTATGCAGAACTCAGAGCTCAATTTTTATCTTTGCAGTAAGTATTGAAACCTTGCCTCCCACACCCAGGCTGTTCAAATATGACATAAAATAGTTACTTACAATGATAGGATCCAAAAGTTTTCTATAGTTCTTTATAAATGTTTTGCGTTAAAGACATGTTCCAATGAGGAGAGTTTTTTTCTCTTTTTCTTTTTGCTTTACTTCTTTTCTAAGAAAAAATGTTCTTTGTAGTAGCCAACATGTTAAATGTTTTTAATAAAAACTTAGGCTCAACTTAGAGGGGAACATCTTTACCCTAGGTACAAATGAGACTGCCACTTGCTGAGTTTAAAGTACTGAGCAGATGATGGAATTGTGAAAATTGGGGCATCACACACAAGGAGGGGGCATTTTTTACGCCTGTGACAAGCAGAACCTCTGAAGTGCATATTGCAGTGGCTGGCCTCTGTGTTATGCAAGCATCTGCAATGAGTTGCAGAAGGAGGCATCTGCTACAGATCCATAGAACTGCTGCAGACTGAGGCCAGTCCTGATGAGGTCCTTTTGTTCCCAGAGTTTAGTGCCTACTGTCCAACTCTGCAGGCTCCAGATGCTGGGGGCCCGGAGGAAGCCAGGCAAGAAGTGTTTCACCAGCTTTCCAGACTCTGGGTAGTGTGATGCAGCTGCAGCTCCAAGCTCTGGTGAACCAGGGCTGGGACCTGCCAACCTGCTTCAGCATCAGGTGACAATAGTTTTGCTGTTCTCTCTCAGTGCAAGTGCCCAGCATGTCTGTACAAGGAATGAAGACAGCAGAGTCAAAGTAGCCAGTGATCACCAACTCTGTGGTTATGATTATTCGTGGCTCCAGCCTCTTAAGCACCTATGATGTCCAGGGCACTCCCTCTACTGTATACTGCATATACATTATTTTCAAATCTTACATATGTTTTATTAGCCCCATTTTGACTTTTAAAACCTGAAACATGGATTTGTTTAAAGTACTAAGTAGTAAAAGCTGGATTACAACCCAGGTTTGTCTTAGCCTAAAACTTCAGTTCTGTCATAAGCAGCAAGACTGTTACTCAATATAAAGTCGAAAACAAAGTCTGATCCACAAGAAGATTAAGCCAGGGCTGATTTGATTGAAAGAGGAGAGTGTGGGAAGATGTGACCCTGGCCTCTTCTGCTTTCCCAGATGCTCAGGTGACCCTGTGGCCATCACCTCTGAGCACTAATGCCCTGGTTTCCTGCTGAGGCCTCAGACCTGCAGCACCTGAATCACCTGGAAAGCTGTTACCAGTGGCTGCCTCAGATTGAGTCAGCCTACCTAGGGCCGGGGACAGAGCATCTGAGCCTTCCCAGTCCTCTGAATGACTGCCAGTGTTGTGCTCAGGAGTGAGGAACATGGAGCCAGAGGTTTCAAAATAAATTTGGTAGCAGCTCCTTGGCCCCTAAAGCATTCTGATGTATGAGGTCGATGCTGCGGTGTTCACAGCCAGGACTAGAATGATACATTGGTCCAGTCAAGTAATTCTTTTTAAGAAATTCGTGGAATAGATCTTGAATCAATGCAACATTGGCACACAGATGCTGATGTTTGTGACCCCATAGTAAAGAAATTTCTTATCTTCATCCTCTTGTGCTTCAGAATGACAAACCATGTGTAGCATGTATGTTAGCAAAGGGGAAGTTACTAACAGAATTCCATGTATTAAAGATGTTGCTGATTATCAGCTGAGGCATCTTGGGTGTGTATGGACATGCAAATATGTGTGTGTTGCCACAAAGAAGAGGAGAAAAAGGTCACCCAATAAATTATGTCCTACTGTTCATTGTGAGAGATTTCCCAATATCTGAGGTATTAAAGTATAATGAAATGTGATGAGAAATGAGAATTAGAGATACTTCAGAAGGTTCCTTTCAGTCATTAGTAAATGAGGAGGTCCATATTTGGGGAAGCGAGGGTGTCCTGCTATTGTGAATTTAATATAAAACCAAATGAGGTTCATCTCTCCTTTGTTTCTACTCCCATAGCTGGTTACCACTTAGAGTAAACTGATGAGCCTATTCTCTTTGTTAGATTCTCTTGGTTGGACTTTTGCTGAAGCTTGGAAATGATGATGTTCCACTTCAGACTCATGGTGTGCCCTTGTGCTTTTACCACTGACTTTGCTGTTCCTATCCTTGTGGTTTTTATACTGTTTTTTTTTATCATTTTCCTTCTCTGTCTCCAAAACCTCTTCCCAAGGGGACACTGAAAAGTGTTTAATATTTCTAGTTTGAAATCTGGGTTATTGTTGAAAATATGGATGCAATTATAAGAGGGTCTCTGTTAGTGACGGTAAGATTGTTCTGGGTAAATTATATTATGGAGTTGATAGTTCACCCTGGCCTTACACACTCATCATGTTTTGAGAGGCAGAAC